GCAGCACAGTGGCATCCTCATGTGCGGAGTGCTGCTGTGCTGCAGCCTGTTGCATTTTCAGGTGAATTGCTATGATGATTAAAGTCCTGTTGACGTCCTAGCAGCTGTGGCCCCAGCTGCTGTCACATCAGATCCAAGCTGATATGACAGCAACTTGGGCCGCAATTGATGTAATGTCAGCATTGATCTGAGGTGGCAGCAGATTAGATCGCAGCTGCCCCCTCGTCAGTTTTGATGAGAAGGGGATTTGATGTGGGTGACGAAGAATGTGAGGAGAGGGAAGAGGAGGATGACGAGGATATTGCAACCTGTCCTTTACTCTGCCTCCTTTTGTAATGTGCAAGTCTGCCGTTAAACCACTACAGTCTTCACCCGAATAGAACACCCGGTCGTTATAGCTGTATCTGGATGGCAAATTGCACCAAATACGGTTAGAATGATCGGGCGTTCTATTGGGGTGAAGATGGTAGTACCTTTGCCGCGTGGGCAGATAGCGTGCGTCGGGTGGGCCGCCGACCTTTTGGGAGGCAGAACAAACTGCGGCCGTCGATCCGATTTATCAATGGCAGCAGTCCTCGTGCCCTGCCTCCGAAATTTTTAGGAGTTTGGGAAAACCACCACTTTTCCGGGTTTTCCCTATTTTCCCAACGCACGCGGAGGTACTAGTGGAGTAAGGCACACGGGGATGTGCACAGCTTGTGCGCTCAATCAACCTGTCTAGCCTGATACGTGAGAGGGACAGTGAAAGGGGAGCTGAAAGAACAAATAAAAGGGGTATCTCAAGGAACACCAACGTGAAGATGGTGTAGAAAGGGGTATGATGACGGATCTATTGTGCTCCGAGTTGCTTGCTATATAGGAATAACTCGTTCATTGCTGGATTGGCTCATCTCAAGTGTGTGCTTCATTAAGCCACCTCGATTGTGAATCTGCTCATTGGGCTGGAACATGGGCTATTGTGTTGTGGTGAAAATCTGAAATACACACGCACACATACATACATTGTATAGTGAACATGACGATTCACATCCATGCACACTCAAGTGTGCATGTGCCTCGTTGTGTGCACACGTAGTAGACACACACACATGCATGCACGTCTCTTATTCCACAAACACATGCGCGCACACATATGAATGCACTTCGATGTACTCACCACAGCATGCAGGCACGCATGCCCCTCCCCCCCCGCCCCCCACCCCCCATGCACACTTACAAAGACAGACACAGGCATGCACACACGGGGGAGGGAGGAGGGAGGGAGGAGCAGCAGCGCCCTCCTCGAGGAGAGGTTGATCATCAGAATATGATTGGGGTAGGAGGAGAAGGATGAGCAGCACTACTGTCATTCCTTAAAATTTCACGAACTCGTCAGGACACGGATTAGATTCATTAGAATAAATTGTGTAAAATGATTAGAATATATTATCTGTAAGAAGATATTATGATTAAAATATATTCTCTGTAAGAATGATTAGAATATATTCTCTCTCTCTCTCTCTCTCTCTCTCTCTCTCTCTCTCTCTCTCTCTCTCTCTCTCGTGCTCACGCTGAGTGTGTGTGTATGTGTGTGTGTTTGCACTCCTTGCAGGGAAGGCATGTGCGCTCCTTCGTTGTCAGATCTGCCTGGGAGGAGTTGAAGGAGAATCATAGCGCAGCGGTGATAGCTGATGTGATGTGAAAGCATGTTTCCTACATCGAGGACAAACAAGTGGGCTATGGTGGACTTGCCTCCTAACTATCGGCGCTCATCTCCTGCGGAGCAAATGACGATTCGTTGACGAACGTCATCAGTGGGCTGTAGCCTCATAACACTTGTCTACAATTTGAAGGAGAACCAGAGGAGCTGGAAGAGGTGATCTGATATGAAGGCTTATTTTCTATGGAGAGCAGAAAATGGTAATTTCCGATATGAACATGAGAAAATGGTGATTACTTGCCTCGTATCTGTGGGCTGCTCAGATTCCTGCAGAGGGAATGAGGAACATCATCTACGAGGCTGTGCACTTCAACGCAGCGCTGCTGTCAATAGCATTCTTGTGGATTGAGAAGGGGAGAACGATGCGTTTGTATGTGCGCCATTTCAGTCAGCATGTTGACTTCTATTTTATGATTACGGGATGACAGTATCACTTTAGTGTTGGATTGCTATATTTGGAAAAAACGGACGTGATCTTCAAAATTGAAGTTGTGTTTACAGTTTTTAAATTTGTATTTTTTTATCGTCTTATCAACTTTAAAGTCTAAAGAGATTCAAACCATTGGGTGTTTGAATTACTTGTTTGAGAAGACTGTCAAAAAAAAAAAAAAAATGTGAGACTTAGTTTGAACTTCAAATTCCGAATTTCGAACTTCCAATTTCAAATTTAATACTTGTTTGATTTCACCCCTTTTTTTTGTGTAGGGGGCGGGGGAATTATGTTTCTTTGGATCAGTAATTTTAAGAGGAAAAGACACAGAATAAATCGGATTCTGCTTTGCAATTCCTGTGAATGTGCGACTTTTTTTCACACAACCTTTGATTCGCAACCGCCATTTTTTTCTCCGAGGCACTTTTTTCTGCAACCGCCCTTTTTTTTTCTCCGAGGCACGTTTTCTGCAACGGCCCATTTTTTTTTCTCCGAGGCAGTTTTTCTACAGTGCTGGAAACACCCTTGGTTTGAACTTTAAAACCACCCGTCTTTGAGGCACATTTCTATGCGGCTCGACACAAGCTGGTACAAATTTTAAAACCATCCGTCGTTCCGAGGCACTATTGGAAATACCATGCACGCTAAAAAAAAGGCAAACATCCTGCGCGCTAAAAAGAAGGGAAATATCCTGAAACCTAAAAAAAAAGGAAAAGGCTCGAGCCTTGTTTTGGCTGGTCGTGGCAGGTAGTTTCCCCCGAGCGTGCGCACAGAATGTTGTGACATGTTTGATTTCTTAGCTGGGAATGTTCCCGGTAGGGTTTAAACCGGAAGTGCGGTTTTCCGCCATTTTTTCAAAGAGGCGGGCTAGTAAGCGGCCGTAGTATTCAAGGTTCGTGAGCCAGTGGAAAGAGGCTGGCAGCGGCATCCAAAATGGGGTCTGCAAGGGCACGCAGGGCCATTTGGAGGATCCCCGGGCCTCGGAAGTGCAGTCGCAGATAGAACCTAGACAAGGACCTGGAACGGATACAAGGATGCTGTTGTTTTAGGCGGACGTATATACATAGTCTCTAGACATATAGGGTAGCGGCATCACTAAAACATCCGTTTTAGGGGGAAAGAAGGGGGTATTTAGTCCTGCGTACTATTTTAACAAACATCCTAAAATTTCCATTTCAGTTGGAAAGAAAGGGGTACATAATCTCTAGACGTATAGGGTTGCGGCATCACTAAAACTTCAGTTTTGGGGGGAAAGAACAAACATCCTAAAATTTCCATTTCAGGGGAAAGAAAGGGGTACATAGTCTCTAGACCTATACTCTAGACCTATAGGGTTGCGGCATTACATAGTCTCTAGACCTATAGGGTTGTGGCATTACATAGTCTCTAGACCTATAGGGTTGCGGCATCACTACAACTTCAGTTTTGGGGGGAAAGAAGGGGGTATTTAGTCTTGCGTACTATTTTAACAAACATCCTAAAATTTTCCGTTTTATGGGGGAAAGAAAGGGGTAATAGTACACACCTGCGTGCTATTTTGAAGTCTTAACAAACATCCAAGGAAAAAGGAAACAACATAAAAACTCTCAAGCAAAAAAAAGTGCAATTTTTTCCCTTTACTGTCTGGCGGCAGTGCAGTTCACCGTCCCGACATGCGGATTATGATTCCGCTGTTCTATCCTTTTTTCCTGCCTCTCTTTTTTTTCTTTTTCTTTTTTTTCTCCTCCCTCCCTCTTAGTGCATAGAACTGTATACCGTTTATGATCCTCCTTCCATCAGAGGGAAAAATACAAAAAACGAAAAAAAAAAAGAAAAGATTATCAATATGACTTACTGGGCTGCCAAGCAATGGACATAATTCCACTACAAATTTAAAAATACCCCTTCAAATGGAGGAAACCCCAACAGCTGTTATTTAAAAAGGACCCTCATACATGTGTGTTTTTTAGAAAGTCACTTAAGGATACTGGTCCGGATCCTGCAAACTCTAACAGCGATTACTTAAAAAAATGAATGACTAGAAATATTCCTTTTTCTCCACACCTTTTTTTTCTCTTCTTTTAAACTCTCGAAGTGCATTCTACACCTTTCCTGAATTACCTCCCTCCCTCTAAAAAGAAAAGATCCTCCCACAGAAACGTTGTTCTTTCCCATGGCTACACTCCTGCAAGATTCCTTTACACGACATGCCCTACACTTCAAAGCCTTGTCCTTCTTCTTTCTCCCCTCGAAAGTTTCAAACAAATTGCAACCGGCCGTTACCTCCTCGCTGGTACATCAATAGCACTGCCTCTCTCGTGTGTCGCTCGAAGCCTCGGCGGTGGGTAGGTGGTTTTGAATTGCTTGGCTGCCTCTCAAGACACTCCCACGTAGATGAGTAGATGAGTCAAACACGAATTTGATTTTTTTTAAAATCGAAAAAAAAACGGCAAGAAATAGGCGGCTTGGACGCTGGTGCAACTTTTGGGGCTCAACCACCATAGCAAAATGGTGGCAGAGCCAGGGAAGATGAGAGCCATGCGGGATCATTTTTTCTTGGCGGCTCGCGTTTGGCCACTCTGCGGAAAAGTGCCTCGGAAGTACTGGTGGTGCAAAGCGCATACGTGGCAAGCTGGGCCGCAAAGCGCGTACGTGGCAAGCTGGGCCGCGGGGCCTTCGACACCTCACCTCAAATTCTAGGACTGTGAAACGAAAACGCAACCAGCGACTGAATTTATCAACATCAGGCGTCGGGTCCAGCGTTTGATGTTCCCGCCGGCCAGCCGTGCATTCTTGTGGCGACAAGTGCCGGGACTGTAAGGCTTAGACCGTGTAGTGGTTCTTTAACAGAACTGAAAAGCTGTTCTCCATATGCCTTCCCTCACCCATAACTCCTCATGACATACAAGTTCCCTACCCTCCCTCTTCTTCTCTTCATTGCATTATTACAAACCCTCTCACCTTCTCTGCTCTCACGGGGTTCACTCTCTTCCCCGTAAATAAACTTGCCCTTGCGCGGCAAACACCTCTCTCCTCTTAACACACCCACGTCATCGGAGTAAAAACTAGACTTCCTACTACTATAGTCAAACAATTGACTGTTGAATATTGAAAATGATATAGCAATTGTAAAACAGGAAAACTCAACAGAATAGCCATGATTTTGAGTAACCAGTGACTTAGTAATTGTGAAATTCAATTTTTTTTGTAAACGAGTGGATGGTCCACTTAAACAATACAATTTGCCCATACGAGAGCTTGGTATAGTGCTACCATACCAAGCTCCACTTGGCTACAGTCGTGCATAATTCCTTTACACGACATTCCCCAATTGACACCCTTCTTGCCCTGACCTTGTCCTCCGTGGCTACACTTGGCGAAGTACTACAGTGTTTGGCACAACTTTCGGTCCAGATTCGGTCCAGATGCAGCAATATTGACCGGGCGTTCTAGACGGTAGGCGACAAGATAAACCCTAGTTCCCGTAACACCCATAAAAGTTGAAATAAACACTTGCAAAACAGAGACAACGAAAAATCATAAAACATCATTCTCTGCAATACAAATAAAACATCATTCTCTGCAACACAATCCTGTAGATTTCTGCAACCCCCACCATCCTCATATACTTTCCTAAACAGCCAACCCTTCCCGTCTCTTTTCCTTGCGCTCCTTTGTTGACAAGTGTGGTCTTCCCTACGCGCCTATTCAAGGAAAACGTCAGTCAATGAGCTCCCAATCTCCTCTTCTACACAATTACGAGGCACGCATGTAAGAGAGACCACCCCCCTACGCTCCTGAAGTGTGAACTACTCGGCCACAAAGCATGCATATCCTCCGGCTATCCAACGATATAAGACAACACCCCAGAAGAGAGGGGGGGGGGGGGGGGGGGAGACGGCGGGGTTTCTTTTACTACCTACCCCCTGTTGAGCTTCCAAAGAATCTTCTCCAGGCCTCCCAAACTACAATCACCACCTGCTTTTCCTCCCAAGCAACATCCCGCCCCCTCCCCCCCACCCTGCCGTCTCCCCACCTGCCCCTTTCTTCGGCCCTCTCAATTTTGCATTATACCACATTGACGAACTCTCACTTTCCATCCTCAAAGACCTCGTCCATGTGACAAAATCGTATTCATTGGTGCAGAAGGTTTGAACAAAAAAGAAACTGAAAAAGAGAGAAAAACAAAGAGCACAGCAGAAAGACTCTAGATACGACAAATCTGCAATTAACTTGATGGAAATTACATGAATAATAAATAAAACACACAAAATCGCACTGTGATTGCTGTGCGCTTGCTGTTAGCCTCCTACGCCCTCAATCATAGAGCTGTCAAAAAAGAAATATAAAGAAGATCCCAAGAACACAACATCCTTCCTTCACTATCAAAAGTTCATGGAAAACCTCTGCCGAAATGACTAAAACCCCTCCTCCACCCCCGCACTCACTCCCCCCCCCCCCCCCCCCCCCCAAAAAAAAAAACAGAGAAAAAGAAGAAAACCATCTTCGCCATAACGAGACAGCCATCCGCACACACTATTCTCTTCAACCACCAGTTGTTGGCTTCACCCTTGAATAACCGTACTCCAATTCACACAGCCGCGCAGACAAGAGAGGATACACAAAAGTAATAATGCAACCTGGAGTAAGTATTCCATCTCACAGAAGTGTTTCCATCAGTATGGTAGCATGTGAAACACAGCCTAAGCATGTGAAACACAGCCTAACATTACACAGTCCATCTCCACATACACTCGGCCTGCTTTCACGCCTCGGTCGGTATCCAGATTTATACCGTCGGCGTTTCATTTTCCCACTTTCCAGGACTCCGCGGCTTTTCTCCCAAAAGGAAACTTCCTTCCAGACGTTCCATGTACATCAAACATCATCAATTGTGTCCTATGCTAAACACGTTTTCACAACGGCATAGAAAGTGTACAGTGTAAGCGGGTAATCAGATCCTTGGCCCCCGGGGCCAAATTCAACTAGCCGCATTGAGTTTCTTCAACGCCTGAATCTGCACATGTATGTGGAGATGTGCAGTTGAGAAAACTCAACGCCATTTTCTGCACATCTCCACAAACACGACCAGATTCAGGCGTTGAGGAAGCTCTGTGCAGTTGAGAAAACTCGGCACCATTTCTGCACATTTCCACAAACAGGACCAGGGCGTTGAGGAAACTCCACACTGCTCGTTGAACTTTGGCCCCTGGTAAGTTTCCGTGGCATATTCCAATTTTCAACATTTTTCGTTTTTTCTTCATACCTCCAGCTCAGTCTTTGCAGTGCGTAAACCGCGCACGTAACTCCGAAATCCCGGCCAAAATCGAAGATGCCCGAGCTCGGAGGCGCTTGTCGCAGAGCTCTTGTCGCAAGAAGGCAGGAGGACCGGGGAAATCACACATAGCATCTGTTCACAATTCTGAGGACCGGGCAAAAATCTGCACTGGCGAAAAAGAGGCTGGGACCATCTGCTGGTTTAAGCTACCACTACGTCCGAGCCTCTTTTTCGCAACACATATTTTTGTCCCACACCAATCCCAGCCAAACCGACGTGGCGCATGATTCGTCTGGTACCGCCTGCCTTTTCCGTCGGGTAATCCAACCCATGGTTTTGTGCCATGTTAACCACAAAGGGCACGTGTACTCATGCTGCGGGCCTAACCACAAATGGCCATGTTCATTGCACATGGCACGTGTCCTGATGGGTTACGCCTACCCGCCAGCGCCATGCTACCCCTCAAATGGCATGTATACTGATGCTAAGGGCCTAACCCATGGTTTTGCACCATATTAACCATATTAAGACCCTGCCCCTGTGCACATCTGCTATGCATACACAGAAGAGCCCTTCTGTACTCCTTTCCTTGGCACGGAGACAAAATCACAACCCTCCTCGCCTCGCACCTCCCATCAATAAGCTCTGCACACTTCCCACACTCCGTCCGTTCTCTCACACCCTCCCTCTCCCACAGACCAAGATGCCGATAAGCTCCACACTCCTTCCTCACTCCATCCTCTCGCACAGTCCCTCTGCCATCCACATACATCCCTACCCTTCCTTCCACCTCATGTCTCGATAAGCTTTGCACTCCCTCCACACTCCGCTCTCTCACACCCTCCCTCTCCCTCACACACACCAATTCACTCCGTACTTCCTTCAAAGGGAAAGATCACTTGCTTTATTTAGTACCTATACTTGGTCGAGTAATCCTTTGGCGAGACGACAAGACCCCTCCCCTTCCTTGCCCCTCGATAGACGGTTTCGACGATGTCGATGAACTCCTGCTTGTCCTTCAGAGCCCAATTAATCTTGTTATTGTTTCCAGTCCCCAAATCGATCATGATGTGTTTGTTTCTGAAGAAAAACATAACCGTGCAAGGATCGTAGAGCTCATACATCGTGTTGAAGTCAGGCACCTCGGTGATGTCAACGCAATATATCACCGCAAAGTTCTTGATGGCGTCTGCGACCGACGCCAGCACCTCGTCCATCTGCATGTCCCAATCCCAATCAGACAACCATATCCATCGATATTCAAATTTAACATCAGCGACATACGCTTCATGGGTTGGACACTGTCTCTTATACACATCTAGATGTGTATAAGAGACAGAAAGTAACCAGCCCCCAATAATCACAGAGATGCAGAATAACCGGAGACACCCTGCCTTGCTGGCAGGGACAGAAACTAAATAAGAGAAAAAAAAAAAGCGAACGATTTGGATGCAATAGGGGTCAGATACATTCTGGAGCTGTCTCTTATACACATCTAGATGTGTATAAGAGACAGCTATTGGATACATCCATTCTTGGCAGAAGGAACTACCTTCTTCCCCTGAATACAACGTTCGGTCATTATAGCTGTAATTCAGGCACCTTTCAGTCCAGATACAACTAAAGAAGGGAAAAAAAGACGAGAGGGATTTGGCTGTGATAGCAGTCAGATACATTCTGGAAGGAACTACCTTCTTCCCCTGAATACAACGTTCGGTCATTATAGCTGTAATTCAGGCACCTTTCAGTCCAGATACAACTAAAGAAGGGAAAAAAGACGAGAGGGATTTGGCTGTGATAGCAGTCAGATACATTCTGGAAGGAACTACCTTCTTCCCCCGAATACAACGTACGATCATTATAGCTGTATTTGAGGCATCTTTCAGTCCAGATACAGCTATACTGACCGTACATTGTATTGGGGGGAAGAAGGTAGTGCGAGTATGACCCTCAGTGAGGGCATTTCCATGCACATCAAAAACACCCTGCCTCGCTGGCAGGGCCCTACGAAGAAGAAGAAGAAAAAAAAAAGGTTTGGCCGTAATAGCGGTCAGGACCGTCAGGTACATTCTGGAGAGCACAAGGGCCTCGCTGCTCTACTCTTGAAATGCACAAAAGACAAAAATCATGGCCGTGTATCTTTCCATATTCTAGCAGAAGATTCACTCTCGTTTTGCACATTTCGAGAGTAGTGCAGCGAGGCCCCTAGTGTGAGTAATCACCGAGTATGCCCTCAGCAAGGGCCTTCCAAGACATCATTCATCTCTTCGTTCTAGCTTCTCTTTTTTCTTGTTTTCCCCCTTCTCTCTCTCTCATGCCCAGGAAAGATACACCGAGTATTGCAAATGGCACCAGGTACAGCACTTCAGTTTCAAGGTAGGCTGGCACCGGTCCCTCCCTCAAAGAAATCAATGACGCACACTGTAGACTGCAAACTCGGGAAGATGCAGATTTAATTTCGACAATTTTTTGGATTTTTTTTTTTTTTGACAATTTAACTTCGGTTGCACTGCGTTGTTTAACATGCCCAGGTGCAAAATTAAACACAATGTCACATACTTCAAAAAAAAAAAAAAAAAAAAAAAAAAGGAGAAGTACTAAAATATATACAAAATAGATACCTATGTATCGTCAAATAAAACTGCTCGGTAAACCATCGGCAGAGAGGAGAAGAGGACAACAAACAACGGGCTGTGACAAACTATTTCGTACGTATATACAGACTGGCACGAAGAGTGCCAGAGGTGGTCAGTGGTGTTTGAAATTTGACTCCACGACCTCCTGAATGCCACTGGCGGTGCCTAACCAACTGGGCGAGGCCCCTTGCTCTTCACTGCACTGCAAAAGCAGAGCAGAACCGAAAAAAAAAAAGAAGAAGAAGAAGAAGCTGAACAGGACCACCGCGCCTTCAGATGAATGTGCCTAGGCAAGGTACACGACCGCATACAGGTGAATGTACCTGGCCGCATGTTTCGCCCGGGCACTGCGACTGTAGAGACCGAGGTACTTGCGAGCTTTCCGCGGACGCCGTTCTCACAAGGACGGGACTGCGATTTCGATCCCACAGTACCTAGTAAAGGTACTTCAGGGAAAAAAAGGGAATCCCTCACAGTATCCCACATGGTACCGCGCATCGCAGGTCTTTTAAAAAAAATCGCCTGTTTCTTCTCTCGGCCTTATGCGTGGCAGCACGGGAGCAACTGCCACCCGTGGGGCGAAAACGGATTTCGGAACGCGCCCGACCCCCTACCCCTCACCCTAAAGGTCGGCCCAACCTGGATTGTTTATTTTCCTGTTTTGTATTCTCGTTTTTCTTTTTTTGACGTTATCTTTATGTCCACGCCCCAAACACAAGCCCCTGTGACACACGGAAATGCGCCGCGTCCTGCTAAAAAACACTGCCAGCGTCAGGCCCAGCGTCGGCCTCGTGCAATGCCAAAAAGACCACGGGCCCAAAACTTTTCACGGCCCACACGGCTCCGACCCATCTTTCAAGGGACTTCTCCGAATTTTTGTTGAAAGTGCTTTGTGGGATCCACGCCTACGTCTGCATCTGCTTTAGTGCATAGTCGAATTTCCAGGGGGTATCTGACCGTACATCCGGCTAGATGCATTAAGGGCCTCGTCCCACCGTACTTACAGTTAGTCAAACAAAAAAAAGAAATGAAAAAGTAAGGGTTGCAGCAATCGGCCCGTAAAATGAATTTTGTACTCCACCGTCCCGCGACTGCAGGAGATATTCCGTGGGTTGGCGGTGGCCTTTCTTGGCCGGACTGCAAACTCGCCCGCCAACCCCCCCCCTTCCCCCCCCACCAATAAAACCATGCCATCTTTTTGGGACCAGGGTACAGGCCCGTTCCTTTTCCGAAATCGGCAAAGGAGCCTCCCGCCGTTGACTCCAGGAACACCACGTCCACAAACGTTTCCACCCACATCCCTCCGTTCACACCGGAGCCTCGCCAATTCAAGGAATAAGGTGGGATACGCCGAGAACCGAAAATGGTAAAATTTAGGGGCTGATCCGACAATAGTACGTAGCTTAAAAGTCCCGTGTTTGTCGAAAGAGCGGTGACGGCCCCCCCAGGGGACATAAGAAAAAAAGCGTATCCCACTGGACTGCGGAGAACAGAGAGGGCTTGCGTGCACGGTGGCGAATCTTCTGGGCTAGGTCTGATCTCACGTTCCACGATCCATCGCCTGGCGGACATGAAAAAACAATGGGGAAAAAGAAAAGAAAAGAAGAAAAGAAAAGGGAAAAAAAACAGGTCCGTTCTTTTTGCGGCAGGGAAGGGGTCGAGCAGTGCTTGACATTCCCTACGGTACGCAGCAACAGTCCAAAAGATAAGATTTGCCATTGCCCCCGAGCCCCCCACAAAAAAGTGGAACAGTGTGGGGTCCCATTTTTTTACACAATTCTTAACTTTTTTTGGAAGTCCAGGGTGTTGTAGAGGCCAGTCGGTGTGTGCACAGTGATCACCTGGAATTGTGAGCCGTGGGTGTCCTGGAATATGAGACCACCTCCCAACCCATCCTCACGTCAATACTCCTAGTGCACCCCCTATCCCACTATTCTACCTCAGTGTGACCAGCACCCAGGACCATTGCCCTACCAATTCTTAACTTAAGTAGCACCGTCGGATCAGACCCCTTAGGCGCTGATCCGACATTACTTAAAAAGAGAAAAAACAAAAAAAGACGGGGCGGAAAAGCAAACTGGGACCCCACAGAGGCAGGTTCTGCGGGTCTTTCCCAACTACCGCGGCGGGTTTCGCAGGTTTCTTTGGGCTTCTACGGGGGACCCCACAGAGGCAGGTTCCGCAGGTCTTTCCCAACTACCAAGGCGGGTTTCGCAGGTTTCTTTGGGCTTCTACGGGGTCAGATGTTCCTGTGGTCTGCCGTATGGCCTGGCCTCCCGATGTGGATGACACAGACGTACCTGCTGAGGAAGGGTGGACATAAAAATGGCCGGCAGATTTTCACGGCATCTTTCTAGTTAGGGGTGGGGGGGGTCCTTGAGCTTTCCATTTTATGTCGCGTCTTTGGGCCGTTCATCACGGGCTAGGCACCACGTACACATATCCCAAAAAATTACGACCCCTAACGAAGCACCACACCCACTGACCTCGGAAAGTGATGGGGTCCGATTTTTTCACCAAAATTACCTAACTTATGCACTGTCGGATCAGACCCCTTATTTACCGTGAGTGGGGTGGGATGAGGCCCTAATCCACTGCAGTACTTCCCAAAGTTGTGCCCGTCAACAAGACAATTTTATTGGAAACGTATCGTCCACAACAGGAGAGGCCAAATTCATCCGACTAGAAACGTTTCTACACTATTTTTTTGGGCGGCCGATAGCCGGGGGCCAAGCACCGGTGGTTTCAAAATTATTAGTCCTCGTTTGAGGAGGCGGGATGTCTGCCTCCCCGCGCTGCGACAGGATACTAGTGAACATAGCGTTTTCTCCGCGGGTATTTCTGCAAAAAGCAGGCAATTGGCGCTGGTAAGTGCGCCTCTAATTCGCCTTCTGTATATCTGTCTGTGCGATAACGAATGAATTTTTATTTTTATTTTCGGTAAAAAGACAAACGACTTTGTCAAATTTGCATAGCGAAACTTTAAAAAAAAGAGAAAAAAACAGAAAAAGGAAAGGAGGGCACAGGGCATTAGGACAGCGGGGATGTTGTTTAAGAAGCAGTTTTCTTTTCAAAAAAGAACAAATCGTAGCTAAAA